TTTTTTTTTTTTTTTTTTTTTTTTTTTTTTTTTTTTTTTTTTTTTTTTTTTTTGTCAAGAAATTGAATAAACGGCTTGACGAAAGAAAGCCCACAAAGTTGAAGCTCCAATGAAATCGGTTATTTATGACGTTGTTGAAACATTAATTTCAATTGTTCGAACGACAAGAGGATTCGTTGATTTTTCTCGAGCGCTTTAGGTATCGCGGAGGTGAAAAACACGACGATACACATCCGCACGTGGCGTCGATTTTCCTTGTTAATATGTGTAGCGTCAAATGATGGATCGCTGTCAATCGTCTCTGAAGCGATTTCATTTTTTTTTCCTACTCAAAATGCATTCTTCGGATTAAACCGATCCTCTGTACGTGCTATATGTTGAATGACCGTAAACCGGTGCAATCAAACCATGCATTTATCAACCCACAGTGTTGCGCCTGTAGCCTTGAATCGTGCAACTTGTACGTACAGGTATACATAATATACTTCTTATGCGTGCATGTACTCACGGCAAAGGGGAAAATTAAAACAGCCGTAGCTGTTTGTCAGTGTCGAGAAAAGTAATTACCGCTCATGGTGTTGATAGTGCGTTTTTTTGTTTGTTGATGGGAAAAAAAAAAAAAAAAAAACACACCAACGGTATAATATATACATATATACATCATTTCAAAGGCAGTGACGAGGCTGGACGTCGAGGGTCGCAAGATATGCCTGAACGTGCCGTACTTCCACGCCTTTGGTATGATCATGGGCGTCGTGGGTCCCCTGCACGCCGGCTCGACCGTGGTACTCGAGAACCCAACTTTCAACCCCGTCAAGTCCATCGAGGCCATTGTCGGGCAAAAGTGCAGCGTTACCTTCGGCACCCCGACAATGTGGGTAAGAGCTATTACACATATATATATGGTGTTGTTGTTTTTATGTGTGTTTGCCACGACTAGGACGTCTTTTTCGTTATTTTTCCCAGACGAACATGATCGACGTGCAAAATCGAACAAACATCAAGATCGACTGTTTGTACACCGGTTTGACCGGTGGATCCCCGGCCACGCCAGATCTTTACCGAAGGATCCGCACTTGCCTGGGCATGGACCACATAAAGGTTATATACTTTGTCAATAACATCGAAACAATATATATATATATATATATATATATTTTTTCGATTTCCCCATCGTTTTTAAGAAAAAATAAAATATAATCGCGCGTGTGTTTGTTCCAGTCTATATACGGCTTGTCCGAAACTACGGCAGTTGTCAATCAGTCGTTGCACGATGAGTCGCCAGAGTTGACGGAAACGACCATTGGGTACATATCCGACGACATAGAGATGAAAGTGAGTCAAAGATTTCGTAGACGTACTCGTGTTTAATCACCATCAGACGTCCGATCGATGTTTTGTTCATGTAGGTAATAGACGATAAAGGGGACATTGTGCCGTTCGGTACCCCCGGGGAGCTTTGCGTCAGGGGCTACTGCACGATGATGGGCTACTGGGGGGACGAGGAGAGCACGAAAAAAATGATCCAGGAGGACGGATGGCTCAAGACCGGGGATCAGTACATCCTTCGCGAGGACGGCTACGGGCACATTGTGGGCAGGCTGAAGGACATGCTGATCCGGGGCGGGGAGAACATATTTCCAAAGGTGCGAAGTAAAAGAAAAGAAAAATAAATAAATAAAGCTTAATTTTCATACATATATTTGCAGGAAATCGAGGATTTTCTCGCGACCCATCCCGCAATACTCGAAACTCACGCTTTTGGGGTCCACGACGACGTTTACGGGGAGGAAATTTGCGCTTGTGTGAGACTGAGCGCCGACGCCAAACTGACGGCCCAGGACATCGTGGAGTACGCCAAAGGGAAAATCGCTCGGTTCAAAATACCGCGGTACATCGAGTTTCGCGAGGAATTTCCAAAGACCGCGAGCGGCAAGATACAAAAGTTCAAGCTGAAAGAGGAACTTGAGGACAGAGGCGTAGTCCCGAGGAAACCGCAAAACTGATTCAGGCTGCCAATGCGACGTTCTTCTATGATAATTGTAGCTTTTTTACTCTAATGGGTATAGGGAAAATAAGTTTTTTTTTTTTTTTTTTTTACGTAATAGACAATTGTGCGATTCATTCGATGATGAAAATTTTATACATGACTGTGCTGTTTGGCTATGATGAATATTCAATTGTGGGTAGGTAACTATTTCGTGTGTCGATTTGAAAAAAAAAGTTGATTCATCGATTTTACCGCATTGTGTAAGGTTTGTCAATTTAATAACGAGTTTCACTTTACTTCTGGAAATTGAGAGGATCCGAAAAAAATGGCTTAAATTTGTTTTCTTGTTTCCAGTATATCGAACAATTATTGTGTTATACGTGGCAATGAAACTTTCAAATTCTATTTATTAGATAATACTTACGATCGACTCTTTAAATAAAATTTTGTTTTTTATGTTTTCCCATAATGCATTGATTTATAATAAAGTGTTATTCATCCATAACATTTTCTACGGTTGTGAACTATATTGTACAAGTAAACGAAAGGGGTGTGAAAAACAACGTTTACTTTTTTGTTATAAATTTTTTATCAACAAAATCATATATTTTAAAAATACATGATGAATAAAGTTATAATTTTTTTTAAATACACTTACGTTCTAACATGTTTCTGTTTTAACAACAGTATCAACGATTAAATAGTCTAAAAAAAATTGTTTTTTTTCCGTCATTTAAATTTCATGAAATATAAATGATAATAACATCTACATAAGTAAAAAAAAAAAAATCATTTTAAGGCATCTTTTACACCAAGTGCGCTTAATCTTAGCATAATAGCGAAATCATGAATTTGTGCAGGTTGCAATCTTCGGTGATTTTTGCACTTGTTACATAATATACTATTAATTTTAAATAAAAAAAATTTATTT